AAAAAAATCGCAACGGAATAGAAACTGTTGTTCATATGACTTGAAAGTCAAAAATTCGTATCCAAACACAATTTTTTTTGAATAGATGTTCTGCAGAGTGAACTCAAATTTTAATTGTTGTATTTATTAGATTAAAGAGGAATGCAAAAAAAGATCAATTCGATAACGTACAAGCAGTCAATTCGCCGCTGATCGCTGCTTTTGAAAGGAATCTGACAGCAAAATGTGCACCGAAAAGTGCCAAAACAACAGCAGCAAAAGTTACTGGTCCATCCATCCAAAGCGAAAATAATTTCAGTGATTCATCCATTCCGGTATAGCGATAAGTGCAGTTCTCCATCAGACCAGGATGACCGAATTCAACGAGTACTCTGAAACGAAACGTTTTCTGATAGTGAAACGAGCAGATTCATCCCAATCCGACAGTATTCTATGAATTGCGGTGTTGTGGCGAAATTAATAGACAAATGAGCATCGCCGTCATTTCCTTGGATCGTGCATTTAACAGACATTATCNTATAGAATATTACTTACAATCTCAGAGAGTTTCAAGACAACTGAATAGTCACATCTGAGTACTAATAACAAAAGAGGATTTTGCAAATGATCCCGCTTGCAGCGCAATAGTGGCATGATCTGATGGCAGATCGATGTTTTTCATTGGAATTTGGATTTTACAGTGCTGAAATGCTTTATTATCTGGTCATATCAGTCTTCTCATACTGACCAAATCAGTTTTCGTAAAGATTTTCTTGTAACAGATTAGGGTTACACTTTGGCTGATACTAAGAATGGAAATGTGTGGGCTTCACCTTCACATTCGCATTTACATTCACATGCAGTCTCGTTACAGTAGTCGATCAGTCGGAATGCAAACAGTAATGAATGTGAGATTTGTGCCAGAAGGAAAAATTGTAAATGAGCATGAGATTGCATGCCTAATTGATGGTTTGTAAATTTAAAACTCATTGATTTCATCAATCGAGTAGATTGCTTTCGATGGGGTCTATCTATCGTTGCATTACGCGCATCACAATGCGTTTAGTTGCGAGATCGCATCTTCATTGAAAAGCAATTGAAAACGGAAATCAGCTCCGATTCAGTTGATGATTGCATCTATTTTCACACTACATTATCTATCGTAACTGAAATAATTATTGCTCAACTGAACTTACCCTTAATGTCGAGTAAATGAGAAAACTGAACGGATGATAATCAGAACACCAGATCTAAATAAACTTTCCACTTTAAGAGACAATTATTATCCAGTTAGGGTGTCGAAATCAGATTCAGCAATCGTTTTTGCATGTATTACGACTGTC